AAACAGAATTTTTTTTTTGGTTTCTTCATGTATTCATTATAGCATTCAAGTGAAATTACTTATCGTTAGAATCATTTAAAATTTTTAACATTTTCAAGATACCCATAATTGCGGAACACGAAAACTGAAATCCACTATTTTGATGGATACGTATTTTTAATGTTAACACTAAAACTATCGGAAGAGTCAAAATGATCTGTTTTAAGATTCTTATTTCACAATTGTCAACACTTTGCGTTTGAAAGTATTTCACTTGAAATATTCCGCATTCTTTTTACGTACATATGACATTTTTTGGAACTTACTTGAAGAGAAATAACGCGTAAATTAATGCACAAAGCTATTTTATTTTGATATTTCATATATTGAGTACTGTGATACCAAATAGTTAATCATTGTTTCTTTATTTCGCAATTATTGATGTCTAAAAAGCATGAAATGTCCGAAATGATTCTAAAAATAAATAATTTCCATCGAATACTATAATGAACATTTGTAGAAACGGAAAAGAATCTATTGTTACAATTTTGATAACGATTACTTTTTCAATCATATTAAATGCTCGGTAAGTCTAGTGTTACATAATATTACATGTATAAAACGCTCAAAATTCTCGTGCCAGTGAACGTGTTAACTCTTTATTTAGAAGAAATGACACCGGTAACTGATTTCGAATCACAATTTCTGGCGCCATGGTTCCGTCGATTACAATTTTTCGCGGGAAAAAGTATTTTCTTCGAGCTTACATTTTCCACTCGAATCACGGAACGAATCAAATTTCGATACTTTGATTTTTGCCGTTTTGCTTTTCGCTTGCTTCGAAACTGTTGCGTAATGAACATTGACGTTTCCTTCGTTAACCCACAATTTTGGAACGGAATGGACTTTGAATTATTTAGGTCGATGATTCGGATTTGATTGGATCGAATGTACAAGCATAAACAGAAATAAAACTACAGTGATATTCTTTCATCGTCCGAAATAAACAGTTTTTCTTATCAGTAAGTGAAGAGTTTGCAATGTGAAAGAAAGGGGGAAACAATTAGCTGACCAAAGTCATTTAATGTATTATTTAATGATTTTATGTAATGTATGATGTATTGGAATTGGAAAAATCTAGACTTCAGTGTTCATATTTACACACATATTTGTTTTACAAAATTATATAGGTAAATGTATTTTATTGCCAAAATTAATAGTAATAATACATAGAATGTATGTACATTGTACAAGGTACAATGTTAAAAGGATCGACACGGTTTGAACAAAATTAAGAGAACGATCAAATTACACAAATACGCAGGAAGGTAGAAGAATAACAAAGTTCTAATTCAGTATAACTTAAATAGTAACGTCGAATGAAATGTAATTATACAAATTGTTTAAAAAGAGTGTGTAAAACGCGGGTCGTAAACTCATTTGCATACGGAGCTGTTGTGCCGTGTAATTAACATAGTTCCTGTACCCCAGTTTTATTATTTTTCTCTGAAACAGGCTGCGTATGAAAGAGAGAAATAATAGTATTTGTCTTGTCCAAGAAATTCACTGCTTTTGTCTAATAATTTGAAAACACTGTTTTCATTGACATCATCATAAAATGTTATTCCAGTTATTATTCGAATAAAATTATTATTTCATTTAATTAATTTCTTTATCTTATTTAATATTATTTGAATAACTACACGTTTGAACAATAAATTACTTTAATTCAAATAAAATTCAGGAATTTTATAACAGTTGACTCTAATTGTACATGAAAATGAAAAAAAACACACCTAACTGTACGAAATTCGTGAAACAATAATCAACTGTTCATTAATATATTTAAGGAGACCTTTCCTTTTAGATAGAAATATGTTTTCCTAACCTAAAATAAGATTCTGAAACAGTTCAGCGGCAACTAGAACACTATACAGTGTGTGCCTTGCGGCGTCAAGAAGGAGCATGTCAATTATAATGTAATTCGTCGAAAAAGCATCCGTCAATAAACGTGATTCGTTTTGTAATCAATCGTTCCCGAGCAACTGGAATGGATTCCGAGATTGACCTCCTTTCATGTCCAACTTATATTTCCTTACGACCTCTCGTTTAATTGGACAAATACTATCTCGGCCGAATACCGATGTGGATAGCGTTTCCCTTCGGCTCCGTCATCAACGTAGAACTCCCCTTTTTTTCAATTACCTTTCGAGGGCTTCGACCAGCGGATAACATTTCAAACGCTGATTACTTCTCCCTACAGTTATCAATTACAACGCACCCCATAGGAAAACCTTCAAACACGAATCAGTTTGTTATCCTCGTTCATCGCACAACTCCTTATCTCGTGTTCGCGTCATCAAACCACCCTGAACTTGTTCAAAAGGGCGTTCCATTAGGGTGTCCCGGATGATATCTCGTCTTTTGACACATTAATTTACCAAGTTATGAGCGTAATGAGATATACAGAGTCATTTAAGAGTTTGCGAATACCGATACGATGAGAAAAGAAAATACGGACTTTTCAACAAGAAACATACGATTTAATGGTCGAATTTATTTAAATTTGTATTTATATTTATTTAACGTTAATCCTTTTAGAGTATACTATATCCATTTTATAGAAAAAACGTTTCTTTTCCTTGATTTTTGAAAAGAAATAGAATGTTAACCTTTTCTTGGAAAATTTGTTATAAAAAGTTTATCCGATGAAGAAATGAGATCTAATGACTCTTTTAATGCAACAATAATTTCAAGGAAAAAGTATTACTGTTCTCTGTCATAAAGCGCGAGTAAAA